TGAGACCCTGTCTCAAATAAATAAGCAAACAAAAAAGAAATTCACTTCGGAACCTGGTGCTTGCTCACAGATGTCAGGTATGACACACAGCATGCATCTATCTACCTGGTGTTCCAGTTTGGTACCTCTGATGCTGGCAGCTGAAGGTGACACGGTATGGGAGAGGTGTTTCTGTAAAGACAGTCCTTAATAGACACTGCTTCTTGCTAAAGTGCAAAAAACAAACAAACAAAAAAGCAATTGAACTAGAAACATTTCGCACACTAAACATCTGGCTCACCTCTAGTTAACGGAAGCTGATTTCCATGGAGATACCTATTGTTGATAAACGCGATAAATACTTTAAATCTACATCTGTAACATTCCCTGAGACTTGAAATAAAAGATTTCTCAAACCTATAATGTCTATACTAACCACTTAGCTTGCAGCTGGGAATATTCGCGTCTGTGTGTACATTCATGTGTGCGTGCTTGCTGAAATACTGCCATGATTCCCAAATGCCTTTGCAAGCAGTGACATTTTCCTGCCTATATTTTCCTCTGATATCATCAGTATAGCTAAGAAAATGTCTGGCAATTCCCCAATATCATGCAACCTCCAGACCTGTCCAGGTCACCCCGGAAGCCCCAAGTGTCTTTTGCAGATGTAATATGTGGGTTCTATCAAAGGGGTTTACATAGCCACCCCACTCAAGTTTCCTAACCTGTGAATACTCTTTTAACCTGCCTAATACCAGCTGCAGCTGAGACCTTCCTGCCTCACTGGCAAGTGTTTCTAGCCAGTGTCCTCAGGCAGGGCTGGCCCGCTCCCAGCAGGCTTGCCCCATGGGTGGCTCTTCTGTCACTTACTGGTTCTGCCTGTTTTTCCTCCTGGGTGCTCTTCCTTATGTGTCTGTACCTGCTGCTTGAATGTTCAGGGATGGAAATGCCTCCTCCGTGATTTTGTGGGCATTCCCCCTGATTCGTCACCTGTCGTTGAATTTTGTCTTGTTTTTCCCTGTATGAGAGATTCTGGTTCTTTGTGAGGTTGGATCTAACAGGTTTGGGTTTCTGTGTGGGGTGAAGAGATTATAATCCAGGATCGAAATCCAGGCCTGTACTTTCTCATCGTGTAGCAGGGATTGCGTTGTCTATTCACGTCAAGGATCCACCTGGGATGGGCGTTGGTGAGTGGAGGGAGGGAGGGACTCTGCTTTTCTGGCTTTGTTGATAATAGCTCTCCCTGTCAGTGTTGATGGGAAAATTCTACGCGTGGGCTTCTGGTCACTTGCTGAGCACATCCTGTATTTGGTTCTCCCTGGCCTCTCATCTCCCTTAGAGCCACTAGTGTTACTGTCACCGTTTTATAGATGAGTAGACTGAAGCTCTGAGATCCTGCGTAGCCTGGCTGGGGCCTGAGGCACTGGTGTGGAGACCTGAGCTGAGTGACATGCAGCTTGGCTGGCTCCAACAGCAGGACCCATGTGGCCTAGTATCCATTTGCTTGGTCTCACAAAAATAATGAATCTGTAAAATTAAATGGCACAAAGACATGTTGTTACCATGGAAAGCCAGACAGCTTATGATGCCTTTTCTTTTTGTTCTGTTGTAGAACTTAACATCTTTTAAGTTTCTGGGGAAAAATGAAGATGGCAAAGGAAGGTGCCCCTTTGACCCTGCACACAGCTACACATCCATCATGGTTGGTGAGTTACCACACAGGCTTCTTCACCCCCAAAGATCATGTCCCCACATGGGGCCCTTGACCCCCCCTTCCTTCCTCAGTCCTGCCTCCCAGGGCCTCGTTGTAACATCAGCCACCTTACAGAAGGTCCCTGGGCACAGACTCCTACTTAGAGTTTTGAATGCATTGTTCAGAGGGATAGCCAGGCACCACCACCATGTAGGCTGTTGGTGCACACCATCCAGGTATTCTTGACTGGGAAGGAGGTTAGTGGCGAGTGGGCTGGGAACCTCATGGGTACCCAGTGTTACCCAGCATTGTGTAGACAGCCCTGTTACAGTGGCGCACGAAGGTTGTTTGCACTTTACGATGGTGTGGAATTGCACTCACACACCCTTTCAGTTTTCACCTTCAGTACTGTGGTCAGTGACATGCATGAGGAATTCAGTTCCTTCCCACAAAACAGGCTTTGGGTGAGATGCCCCTGCCTGTGCGCAGGCTGATGTCAAGTGTCCTGAGTACTGAGTACTAAGTTAAGGCAGGAGAGGCTGAGCTGTGTCGTCTGGGAGGGAAGGCGCACTGAATATATTTTGAGTTACAGTGTTTCCAACTTAGAATGGCTTTGCACTGTAACCCCATACTAAATGTGGGCGCATCTATGTTTATTATTATTTCACTTGATGCGGGAAATTCTTGCTCGTGTCTACTTACTGCCCTTTTACTTACAAGATGTAGCTGAACGTGGTGCCTACAATAATCTAGAGAAAAGACGTGGATGTAAGAAGCAGAAGCTTCATCCCACAAGTTGGGAGATGGTCCTTTCCCTTTCTACACAGGAGCTTCGCTGGGTCACAAAAACCATGTTAAAGCATCTTCACCACAGCCAAAGGGGGGGCTGGTCTAACTCCCCTTTCCCCTCTTTCCTCCCTGGCTGCTGCAGACGGAGAGCTTTACTCTGGAACATCGTATAACTTTTTGGGAAGCGAGCCCATCATCTCCAGAAACTCTTTCCACAGATCTCTGAGGACAGAGTATGCGATCCCGTGGCTGAACAGTAAGACGAGCAGCCGCCTGGTGGCCATGGCTGTGCCCTGGTTGACGTCCCCCTGGCTATCCCCAAGCCCTGACGTCCTGAGCGCATCAGTTCTGTGCAGAGGGAACTCTGGATGTGCTTAGGATCCACACCGGAGTCTTGTCTGGTTTGCTTTCTGCTACCAGAGCGTTGTTTCAGGCTGTTTTTACACCCTGCCCTGACAACAGTTTTAGGAGATTGTAAATGGAGACCTCCCACTCGTCATATTGGGATGTTGCGTCATTTCTGGTGGCCTTCAGGGCCTGGCCAGATGGGATCTGGGCTCCCTGTTGCCTCTAGACCATGCCCGCTTTGTGTCTGACGTTGGGGTGTGAATGGTGGGAAGCTGCTGGTACGGCTTTTCTTGGGGCACTGGCCAGAGGACCCTAGGCATATTTGAAGCCTCTTGGTCTAGGGACCGCTCCCATGGCCTGGGGTGTGAGGACAGCCAGCTTCTTCTCGGAGCGGGATAACCAAGAGTCTTGGGGCACCTGCTTCTGGTGGTTGGAGTTAATTGATTTGAGTCTTTTATTTAAAGTAACAGATGCTTTGATGACCAGCTGGGATGCCCCATCTGTTCTGGGGGTGCCTAGGGCATTGCACTGCAGGGCCACCACGGGGGCCTACCTCTCTGAGGCTGAGGAGGGTGGGACAGGTACTTCTGGGCTCAGAATCATCATCATTCCTGACCCTGGAGTGTGTGTGTGTGTGTGTGTGACATGGCACACACACACTCCAGACATCTTTGCAGGGAAGCCCCCGGGCCCTGAGGCTGTGCTGGCCAGTTTCTGACACCATGGGGAGCAGGCTGGGACATAGCTCTGTGTGCAGGGACCATTCTGTGTCTTCTCTTTGCAGAGCCTAGCTTTGTCTTTGCTGATGTTATCCGAAAAAGTCCAGACAGCACCAAGGGCGAGGATGACAGGGTCTACTTCTTCTTTACGGAGGTGTCTGTGGAATACGAGTTCGTTTTCAAATTAATGATTCCCCGCATCGCAAGGGTGTGCAAGGTGAGTGCTGCTCTGCCCACCGCTATAGTTCCTGCCCCGTGGAAATGCCACTTCCCCTGCTACCAGATCCCTTCCTGCCACAGATGTTGAGGATCCCAGCAGGTGCCAGGCTTTAGTTCTCAGGAACTCCGGTGGTGTCTTTGGATGCCAGTGGGTGTTGGCATTCCACACACAGTCAATCAGCTTGTGGTTCTCAAGCACTGTTCTTAGACGTCCCCAGACTGTAAGAAGTCAGGATTTGTTGAGTCGCTCACCAGATTCTATGGGAGTTGGATGAGTGAACTGAGAAGCAAGGGTTTAAGGTTAAGAAGTGAGAATGCTAAAATGTGTCAGACTTAAAGCTTGAAGTGTGCTTTTAAAAGCAGGTGCTTTGCACAGGAGACCTGCCTTGGGTCAAGTTAGGAGATCTCAGGGTGGTTTGGCTGGCATTTTGGGGGAGGCAGAGTGACAGGTCTTAGGGACACCATCCATCTGCACCCATGGAAAACATGATCGGCTGTGGTCAGTGGCTGGACATTCATCCCCCATAGAAGTCACTGCAGGTATAGTTGCCTTACCCTCCAGATGTCATCACTGTGGGAACACTCGTCACAGAAGCAAGAATCTCATGCCTGCAGTGCACAGAATGGTGCTTTGGATGCCCCTCCCTTAACAGCCACCCAATAAGGCAGGAAGCAGGAGCTCTACATACCTGAGTATCTGCTACCTAGACATTCTGTTGCCAGGGCTCACTGCCTCAGTCTCCCACTCAGTCCCGTACCCATGGCTGCCTTGCTTCTCATGTTGCAGGTCTGGATACCACCTTGGCAGGGGCTCCGGTGTCCAGAACAGGCTGGTGTGTGATGAGATGGGCGGGCACTGCAGGGACATGGCTCCCTGCAGGTGTGCAGGTGTGCAGGGTGCTCTAGCAGCAGCACTAGCCAGAGGAGTTTGTGTTCTTCCTCACCTCCCCTCCTGAAGCTCCATAGCCTGCCAGAGTCAGACCTGCTTTGACCCTGACCTCGACACCGGGCCCCAGGGGGAGTGCACAGTATCTGTGAACAGGATCCCTCAGTATATACTGCGGCCTGCTTTCCCTGCAGGTCTTAGGTGAGCTTTTGTCCTCTCATCGGAATTCTTTCCTTTTCCCAGTGTTGTTTTCCGTGCTGGACTGAGGCCAGTGTGGGTGTGGCCCTCACTCCTCTTTCGCCCACCCTGCACACACAGCCCTTCCACGGGCTTCCAGGACCTGAAAATCACTGAGACAAATGGCCATGGACACTGAAAATCTCCTCTGCTAAAACATCAAAAGTCTTGTCCTCTTGCGATTACACAGTAGCAATAAAAATGGAGGTTTTCATTGTGTCCAAAATAAATAAGGATTCTTCCATCTCATAGTCTTCTGCATTCACATTTCCTGGTTTCTATACAGTTGTCCCCCAACCATGGGATATATGTCCCAAGACCCCAGTAAAGGCCTGAAGCCACGGAGAGTATTGGACCCCATATATACTGCATTTTCCCTATACATACGAACCTATGATGTTTAATGTATAAATTAAGCACAGTAAGAGATTAGCAATAATAACTCATGATGAAATAGAGTAGTGATAACAGTATGCACGAAAGTTATGTGAATGTTGTTTGTCTCAAGAGAGGCAAAACAAATAATAGTCTCAGACTCTTGACTGACCACTGGTAACTGAAACTGCTGATGAGGGGTCATCTGTGTTTCTCTCCAGATCACAGTCATATATGCTCCACAGTTGTCTCTCAGTCATGAGCTCAGTGAAAACTGTCTAAGAAGAACCTAGTACGTCCGAAGCCCTTTAGTTAAAATTCAGCAGGTAGAACAGAAGTAGAGGATCAAACCAAATCTTTCAAAGAGGAACCATCCACATGTTTGCCCAAGACAGGCTGTGGGATCAGAGGCAGCCTGCCGCCTGCTGGCCCATGGTGGAGACTGACAGGAGCCCAGAGCCAGCACCGATCAGAGCCCTGAGCTCAGTGGCACACAGGGGACTGTAGACGTGGCTGTTTTCAGCTGTCATTGAATGAGTTTTCAGTGAGAGGGTTTGGTCTGTTTTGCTTTGTGTTTTGATCCAGAAAGTCTGCAATCTGAGGCAACATGGAAGTAGCTTCCTTCCTTTTGCTCAGCAGAGCTGTGTTAGGCCATGCCCTGCACTGGTGAGGGCAGGCGGGCATTGTATCCTGTACGTGACCGCCTGCTTGTGGGGGCCATCTGTGCTCTCCCACCATGTCCTGTCTTTGGGGTTTCAGGGGGACCAGGGTGGCCTGAGGACCTTGCAGAAGAAGTGGACCTCCTTCCTGAAGGCCAGGTTGATCTGTGCCTGGCCAGACAGTGGCCTCATCTTCAACATACTGCAAGATGTCTTCGTGCTGCGGGCCCCAGGCCTCAAGGAGCCTGTGTTCTACGCACTCTTCACCCCACAGCTGTAAGTGCCCTTGGCAGGTGGGGCATGTACCCTCCTCACCGGCCCGCTGCCCTCTGGGCACTCATGTAGCCTCCCCCCTGCAGGAACAACGTGGGGCTGTCGGCAGTCTGTGCCTACACACTGTCCACGGTGGAGGCGGTCTTTTCCCACGGGAAGTACATGCAGAGTGCCACTGTGGAGCAGTCACATACCAAGTGGGTGCGCTACAATGGCCTGGTGCCCACACCCCGGCCTGGAGCGGTAAGTAGGGCAGGGGGCTTCAGGAGAGGGTTGTGGGCTATTCTTCCTGTTCAAGGATCCAAATCCAGAGCATAAAACTTGACGCAGAGCTTCCCTGCGGGTTGGTCATCTAGCTACGTTAGGCTGTGTCTGCACCGGCCAGATGTCCTCTGGGACTGGGGGGGCCAAGGAGTGCAAGTTGGCTCTTCTCTGTTGTCTTTTGCCTGTTGTGTGACAGAGCTTGCCTCGCGCTGCCCAAATGAGGTGTGCCACTGGCACGGGCTGTTTTGTGAAATTAACATTGTGTAGTAGTTAGGATTGTTTTCTTCTCAGTTTTCTGCAAACGCCTCTGCACTCTCATAAGCTATCCTGTGCACTAGCCAATAGGAGTCATATTGTTTTCTCCTAAAAAGAGTAATAGGTGGAAAAAAAAGTTCTAATCTGAGCTGACTACCCACTCATTGTTTCCCATAGTGTGTGTGTGTATGTGTGTGTGTGTCTTAGACTCTTGTGTGGCCCCTAACCTGGTCCTCAGCCTCACCCGGGACCAGCTTTCTCTATGGGTGAGTGGCCCTGACGCCCTCTTTGTTCCTTCTGTGTATACTGGGTTTAATAAAATGTGGTCTCTTGTGGTTGTGAGTTTTGTTTCATGCACATTAGGAAGCTTGTACCAAAACAACTGTTCTTACCTTTTACCTTTGATGCTATTTTTTTATTGTTCCGTGGTGCCGGGGTTGAACTCAGGGCCTCGTGCATCCTTGGCAAATGGCCTGTGCTGTTTAGAATTGGGCTGTTTTCAGCAGTGCTTAGCATGCTTATCATGGAAAAGCTATGAAGTGATAAGTACTTTCACTTCAAAAGCTTGGTAGTTTTTTTATTGGTAGATAATTCCTGGATGTGCTTTAAAACTCTGTCCTCTGATTTCTGGGAGAGGCCACCTTGGTTACCCACTGTTCCTCTTTTGAAGAAGTTCTGTATGTGGTCCTCTAGTGCTGCACGTGCTCTGCGTGGTCTCTGATGGGCGGGGACGTTAACCAAGCGTGCTTTCGCCCTCACAGTGCATCGACGACGAGGCGAGGGCAGCCAACTACACCAGCTCTTTGAATTTACCAGACAAAACGCTGCAGTTTGTCAAAGACCACCCTTTGCTGGATGACTCAGTAACCCCAATAGACAACAGGCCCAGGTTAATCAAAAAAGATGTGAACTACACGCAGATCGTGGTGGACAGGACCCAGGCTCTGGACGGGACCATCTATGATGTCATGTTTATCAGTACAGGTGGGTTCTGAGGGCTTGACAGTCACAGGGTGTCTGTGTCTTTGGGTAAGAAAAATGGGAGATCCACTTAACTTTATGTAGGTAGATCTGGCATCTCCCTTGAGGTAACAGCCCAGAAGGATTTCTGAGAAGTTACCACACCTGAGCTTCCAGATCTCTGTGACTATCAGGCCACCTGGGTGATTGTTAAACAGGCAAGTCCTGGCCAGCATTCGGGCTGTGCTATTGCAAAGAAGTCCCTGTTGTCACAGAACCAGGTGATGCTCATACTGGCAGAGGTTGTGAGCACTGGCTTGGGAGGAGCCATCTGCCTGGCATTTCCTAATTGCTGATGGAAGACCTTGTACCTGCTGCCTTTGAGGAGCCAGGCTGCGATGTGTCCTGTCCTATGGAAGGCGTACCTCCCTTAATCTGTGGACTCTAGAACAAGTTTCCTAGAATGGGGACCGTGGCCTGCAGCTATAGCAGCTGACTTGTGTGCCTTGCGGTCAGTAGCCTGGGACTCCTGTTAGGAGGAGTCCCCTGATGGGAGGAGTTCCCTAGAGAGGCAGGGGAGCACAGCAGCCACCTCACATGGAATCTGCCTTCCATTGTCACAGTGTCCAGTTTGTCCATGAAGGTCATTGACATTAGTCATGAGACAGGGGTTCATGCTTCAGAAGAAAATTGTAATAACCTGCAACTTGAATTCCTAATCATTTATTTTGCCAAAGGCTTCTCTCTCTCTCCCCCTCCCTCCCCTTCAAGAGAATGACTTGAGCGTGCTGAAGGGTGAATGTCCTTGGTGTGCTGACCTGTGCCTTTGACCTTGCAGACCAAGGTACCCTGCACAAAGCTATTAGCCTGGAGGGCGATATGCACATTATTGAGGAGATCCAGCTTTTCCAGGACTCCGAGCCAGTCCAGACTCTGCTGCTGTCTTCCAAGAAGGTAAAGGGGCTCAGACAGCATGGCTGGGTGGCTGTCTTACTTGGTGGCTGTCTTGGTGGCTTTGCACATCTGTGATGTGAGATTGGATTTTTTTGTTTGTTTGTTTTTGGTGGTACTGGGGTTTGAACTCAGGCCCTTATGCTTGTTAGGCAAGCGCTCTGCCATCTGAGCCATGCCTCTAGCTATTTTAGGTTATTTTTTAGATAGGATCTTGCATTTCTCCCCTTGATCCACCTATCTTCAGCCTCCATGTAGCTGAGACCACAAGTATGCTCCATCACATTCAGCTTATTGGTTGAGATGGGGGTCTCACTGGCTTTTTGCCATGCTGGCCTCGAATCCCAACCTCCCGATCTCCATCTCTTGAGTAGCTGGGATTACAGATGAGGGCTACCACACCTGATGTGAGCTGACCTTTGGGCTTGCACACGAAGTTGTTTTATGAACATGGGATCTGAAGTTTGGGAAGGAGGCAGGCAGAGCTGGGAAATGGAACGTCACTGAGCTATTGGGATAGATGGACAGCGCTGTGGTGAGGGGCACCGCCTCACGAAAACATATCTTGTGCCCTGAGCCTGCAAGCTCTCAGGCTGCTCTAGTGGAAAGCTATGTTATGTAACTTGTCAATGTGGGACTCCGTAAGAGAAATGGTAGGGCACTCTGTACAGCCCTGTCCACGTCGACACTGTACTTCCTCCTGAACCAGGACTACAGATGTTCCCTGGCAAGGCCAGACCGGGGCTTGGAGGGCTGGAAGCCTGGGCCACAGGTGCTCAGCTCTGCCCCATAGCTCCAGTTAACTGTGAACGAGACATGCCTGTCAACACCGATTGAAGATTTCAGCATGTCCTGAAATCTTCAAAGGTCATAAAATAGTTTTTTGATTTCTTTCAACTTTTAAAAATGTAAAACCCTTTAGCTACAAGGCTCTGTAGAAATAGCCAGAGGGGTTGGGCTGGGGGGTGGCTGGATTTGGCCTATTGGCTGTAACTTGCTGTTCCCTGTCATGTATCCACTGTGGCCTTATGAAGTGGTGCCGCCCCATTTTACTACTGGGATGGAGCAGTGAGGAAAGAACATGGGCTGGCCCAGATCCTGACTTGTGGGTGGCAGGCCAGTCTTGAGCTCTGTGCCTCAGTTTCCTCATCATATGGTGGGTAAAGGCACCACCTCAATGGGTTGGCATGAGGGTTATACAAGCCCCGTGAAGTGCAGGATCCAGGGGAAACTGTGGGCTGGGCCAGCACCTGTCCCACTGAGAGGTGTCACCTGCCCAGGGACCCTGTCCTGTGCTTGTCAGCCTAGGAGGCTTCCCTTTCCTGGTTGGGGTCCCTAGAGAGTTCTCATGGGCAGGCCCTATGCTGTGACCAGTTGACCTGGGACACATTTGTGGTTTCTGGGGCTGGCCTGGCACACGACCTCTTTCATTTGCACCTAATTTCCAAAGCCTGGCTCTGTGGCCAAAAATCTCAGGTTTGACTTGCAGTGTGCCAGAGCAGCTGGTGGTGGGGGAGGGAGAGGGATAGACATTCACACTGGTCCTTCAGTGGGCTCTCTCCCTGGAGTTGGTACTGGCAAAGGGCCTCTGCCCACCTGATGCAAGCCAGGCCTCATCAGCCCCTGGCAGTGGGCAGAGGATGGACCCCCGTCCAGGCAAACGGAACAGAGCTGACCTCTCAACAGGTGTGTGTTTGCAAACATCCCTCCAGGCTCTCCCACCCTCTCCCTCTAATTTGTGTCCACAAAGTGCAAGGAGTTTGGGGCTGGTTTTCAAACTCCTGCTTCTCGGTCCCCTGTGCTCTCAGCCTCTGCAAAACACATTTGGCTGCTGGTTCTGAAAGGGAAAGAAAATGAGATCCCTGTGAATGCTGGGAGACACCAGGTTCTGGGCATCCATGCTGGTTTTGCCACTTGTCTTCAGGGCCTTAAAGGAGCGAGAGATTTGCAGGGTGCCTGCTTTAGCCAGCCCTGGAGCTACTGGGTTGCCAGGGTGCTTTAGCCAGACTGGGTAGACATCTGGGAGGCCTCCACAGTATGTGTGTGTTCTTCAGAGAGAAGGTGGGGTGTAGAGTGGGGAGAGCCCAGAGTGAGCCCTCTCAATGCTCCACCCTGTCCCTCAGGGACCCTGGCCAGCAGGGCTTCCAGGACACATGGGTGCTGATCCCTGAAGGCAGAATGGGGAGAGTCCCACATAGGAGAGGTTACAGATCAGTCCTGTGTGCAGGTATGTGGCCATACTGGGGACTCTGGCCAGACAGAGAGCCACACACCAGGAAAAAGACCTGGTGGGGGAGTCCTGCTAGGCCACAGATTTGCCTTTCTCCTCAGTTGCCCAGGACAGGTGAGGAAGCATTACACAGGCTGTGGGGTACCGTGCCGCCTCCTTGGCCCAGGTGGGCTCTGGTGGATTTGGGATGCCTGGCTGCTTTGCTATGGCTGCAGGAAGCAGCTGGTCAGTGGCACAAAGGCTGGTCAGGTCTCTTTCATCTAGCTGGACAGGGTCCTTCTCTGTCCACAGTCAGGAGCTCATCTGTCGAAAGCCGAGGAGCAGCTGCTGTAGGGTCCTGTGAGCAGAGAGAGGGCCAGTGGCATAGCCCTCCTGTCCACACCAGGGTGGAGTGGCACTGACCTCACAAACCCATCTCCTCTAAAGACCATTATGGGCTCTGGCTTTTTACTGTGGTAAACACACATGACAGGCTGCACTGTGGCTCCATGGTAGAGCACTTGCCTGGCTTGTGCAAAGCCCTGAGTTCAATTCCCAGTACCCCTCCTCCATGTACAAAGTATGACTTGAAATTTACCATCTTACCTATTGTTTAGGTATACAGTGCTGTGGCCCTAAATATATATTTACTGTGCTGTTCAGCCATTGCCACCTTCCATCCCCAGAACTTCTCATTCCTGAACTGAAACTTAGTCCCCATTCCTCTCCCCTGCCCCTGGCACACCCAGTATTTTGCCTCTGTCTCTGAGTTTGACTGCCCTGGACACTGCATCTAAGTGGAACCATGCAGCATTGGCCCTTTTGTGACTGGCTTAAGTCATAGAGCACAGCCGCAAGCTTCTTCCATGTTGTAGCGTGTGGGTTTTAAGGCTGGGTAATGTTTCATTGCCTGGATAGACCATGTTTGTTTCCATTCATTTGTGGGTGGCCTCTTGGGTCATTTTTCTTTGACTGCTGTGAACATGGAGTGCAGATATCTCTGAGTATCTCATTTCTCTGGACGTATCTGGCAGGTGCACTTTGCACAGCCCAGAGAGTGCAATGTGTCTGTGTTCATGAGGTCACTCCCGATTGGTGAGACGCAGCCTGGGTGACAATGGGGAGGAAAGAACTTTGGTGACCTGTATGGCTGGCCACATAACGCAGCACACCCTCAGGGCCGTGTGAACCCAGGTGCTGCATTCCAGGGATGTGGAGCCAAGTGTGGAACAGCATAAGAGGCAGGGCCATACAGGGCGGCTGCCCCCCTTAGTACACCCCACTAATGCTGTATACTGCCAGCCAGATGATTTTTTCTTTGCCTTTTTGAATCTGAAATGATTTCGGATTTATGGAAGAGCAGTGATAATAGCACAGAGGGTTCTCATGTCCCTACCCAGCCTCACCTCGCCTTGAGTGTCATAGAGGCAGCATACAATGTTGTCACCTCCATGTTACCCATCCCAGGACCCCATGATGCATTAGGGCATCCTTGTCTCTGCTTCTCTGCCTCCTGAGTCCTGGCCAGGCACTTTGTGGCATGTCTGACATTTTCTTCTGATGGTCCTGGGGTCATGGGTTAAGGAGAGCACCATGGGGACATGGTGTCCATATGCCTCCCAGCTGGTATCCTCAGCTATGACCTCTGTCCAAGTTTCTCTGCTCCGGGTGTCAGTATGAATGAGCACGGTCAGGCCCTGCCTCTCAGGGGAGGCATCTCAAAAACTGTGTGAGCATGGTTGAACCCACAGTCATTCATTGGCTTGGGGGGAATGGACTTTGAGACTAGGAAAATGCAGTCGGCCCTCTGTGGCAGGCGTTCCATATCTGTGAGTTTCACATTTGCAATTCAGCCTTAGGTGAAAAATACTCAGAAAAACAATTGCATCTGTATTGAACATGTCATCACTCCTGAAACACTTGTACAAGTGTTTCGGCAGTTTTACATTGTATTGGGTGTTACAGGTCATCCAGAGATGCTGTAAAGTAGAGGGGGGAGTGCTAAGGTTCTACGCCAGTGCCACGCATTCTCAGTAAGGGACTTGAGCATCCGCAGATTTGGTATTGGGGGGGTGGCTCTGCAGACACTGAGGGATGACGGCACCTGCTTCCCCTCTCCTCTGCCTAGCATCCACTAGCAGGCTTGGCCTGGGTTAGTCCTGCCCACTCCCTGTAGCGAGGGGGTTTCCCTCTTCCTTCCACATTTACCCGTTGCACTCTGAAGTGCAGTTCAGTTGTCACAATTTGATTTTGTTTGAGCTCTGGTCCAGTCCCATCAGGGAGAAGTGGGGCCAAGTGTCCTAGAGGGTAGGAACCCCTTGGGATAGACCCCACCCTTCACAGCCCCTCACTCACCTCTCACTGGGCAGAGGGATCAAGTGGGGCTCCTCTTGGCCTGTCGGGGACCACCAGTTCTGCTCTGCCATGGTGTTCATGATCCTCACAGATGTCCCCAGCAGGGACTTCTCCCCTGGAAATGTTTCCGCACTTCCACCGTCCTGTAATTCTCGAGTGATCTGGGAGGTCATCTCTGTCCCTCTTTTGTGCTGAGCATCTGCCCAGGTCTGCACTGACTGCTGTTTGCTCTCATCGTGGTTTTCATCCTCGGAAGCATCTGTGTGTGTTGTGTTCAGGTGGGCCTGTGGGCCTGGGTCTTTGAGCGGCTGCAGCTTGTGAGACCTGGGTCTGCAGTAGAGACTGCTAATGCGGAATACAGCCTCAAAGGGTGGAGGTTGTGTTTTATCTGATTGTAAAATACCAACCTGTGTGCACGTTTGAGCATCTGTGGTGTTAGTCACAGGTTTTCTGGGATGCTAATGTGAAACGGACTCCCAGGTGGAGGAGAGTGTGTTGCCACCCTGTGCGTGTCTTGGAGCCCTCTCTGATTGTGCTCACTAAGAAAACCTAGCAGGCCTGGGGCACTCCACTGGCTCCAGGTGGGCTGTGTGCCGAGTCAGTCAGTGTCCTGTGAATAGGAAGAGTTTGGTGCTTTCTGTGTGTTCTTCCCTTGCAAACCTAGTCAACAGTGTTGTTCCTTCTTTTGTTTGATGTCCCAGCCTTCGATTTGTTCCTTGCACAGCCTTAATTGGTGTGTTTACACCTAGATGCTGGATTCAGACTCCAGTGACACAGCTCTCTGTTCACAAAGGACAAGATTAGCCCTCAGGTTGTGCCCTTTGGCCTCCAGCTGAGGTGCTGTCTCACCTGTGGCAAGGCCAGGAGGGTGGCCTGGGGTGTAGGCTAGGGGTTCCTGCTCCACAGGCAGGGGCGGCTGGTAGGGGAGTGAACAGCCTCCTCCCCAAAGAGAACCAGGCTCAGGGGAGGAGAGCTCTGCTAGGCCGAGGGTCTGCCAAGACAGGGTGGGCAGGATTCAGATCCCAGCCTTCCCAGTTCTGTTGGATACCAGGCACTGCCTTTTTCACACAAGCTGTAATTCCTGGTGGTCACAGATCTCACAGGCCTTGCTCAGTGGCCGATTCTAAGTTAGGGAGACCTTTCCTGCTCTGTGCAGCACTTGAAAATGCTCTGTCATCCCCACAGCTGGTGGAGAAACTCGGAGCCCCTGCCTTATGTCTGCTCTGTCTGTTTCCTGTACACAGGGCAGGAGGTTTGTCTATGCCAGTTCCAACACAAGAGTGGTCCAGGCCCCACTGGCCTTCTGCGGGAAGCACAGCAGCTGTGAGGACTGTGTGTTGGCAAGGGACCCCTACTGTGCCTGGAGCCTGCCCGCGGCTGCTTGCGTGACTCCGCACCAGGCCGAGGGCCCCAGCAGGTAGGGGTGGGACACCTTGGGCATGAGCCCCTTGAGTGCATGCAGTGAGTGACGGGTACCAATTGTCTTGCAGGGCTTGGATTCAGGAGATGAATGGTGATACGTCCTCATGCCCGGGTGAGTGGCTCCCTGTCAGCCATTGGCCAGGCCGCAGAACCATTTCATGGTGCTTCGGTTCTGTGATGCTCATGTGTTTTGTTTTTCTTTCTCCACTCTGAGCAGGGGGTGAAGTGTCATGTCGCAGACCTGTGATCTCTGTCCTTTGATTGCAGAACAAGTAGGCACATAGGGTGTTACTGGTTCACTGGAAAGCATTCTGTCTGCAACTGTCCTCTTTTCTCATTTACTCAGCTGGAGCTTATAACAAACCAAACCCGCTAAGAATGGGAAGAAAGGAGTCTATGAGTTCAGGTTGAGCTTCACTAATCCAAAAATCGCAAATCAGAAACTTTTTCAATGTCACTGTGACACCCCAAGTGGAAAGTTCCACACCATAAAATTTATCTCAGTCACAAAATTATTTAGTGTCAGGTAAATTTACCTTCAGACTATATGTATAAGATGCATTTGAAACAAAAGTGGATTCCATGTTTAGACTCTGATCCCCTCCCCAAGACACCTATCTTATTACGCTTCTGCAAATATTCCCAAATCTGAAAAATATTGAAATCCAAAGCACTTGTGGTCCCAAGCACTTCAGACAAGTGACATGCAGCCTGTAATTAGTTCAGGTTGGTGTTCCCCTCAGGATCCCACTGCCATGGCTGGCCATTGGGGAATGGCACTGTGACCAGAGGTGGGGTAGGATTGGGCCAGGATGCCCTATCCACCTTCCAAGCAGGGGAGAACCCTTCTCCCCTCTCTAAGCAGACAGCAGTCTTCAGATTCAGAGAAGTAGAAAAGAAGTGTAAGGGTAAGACTGGCACTGACAGCCGGCCTCCCTTGTAGCTGCTAGCAGAAGGGTTTGGTGTCTGACTCAGGGTGCCATCATTGGATGCACAGCTGGCCAGGGGTTGGCCTCCCAGCCTGATGAGTTTTCTCCTGGGACTCGGGGTGAGAAATGGGATTTCTGCTGCTTAGAGCCGACTGATTTCCTTGTCCCTGGGGCTGCTATCCAGGGTTCGTCTTTGCTTTTTGGTCACGCATGTCTCTTATCTCCTTGGTTGTCCTGAAGATCTCATCTTGTTCCGGTGGGTGAGACTCTGTGTCGTCTTGTGGGCATTAACCTATTTTTGAAAGCAGCTGAGTTCACGTGCAGGGTTGTTGATGCTGTGCACATTTATTTTGATGTTCCAGATAAAAGTAAAGAAAGTTTCCGGCAGCGTTTTTTCAAGCATGGTGACACAGCGGAACTCAAATGCTCCCCAAAATCCAACCTGGCCCGGGTGGTATGGAAGTTCCAGAATGGTGTGTTGAAGGCCAAGAGCCCTAAGTACAGTCTTGTGGGCAGGAGAAACCTGCTCATCTTCAACCTGTCGGAGGGCGACAGCGGCGTGTACCAGTGCCTGTCCGAGGAGAGGGTCAAGAACAAGACGGTCTCACAGCTGCTAGCCAAGCATGTCCTGGAGGTGAAGGTGGTCCCCCGGCCCCCAGTGTTGTTCAGCTCGTTGGCTGCTCAGACAGAAGGTAGTAGGATCATCTCCAAGGTGTCAGCAGCATCTACCCAGGAGTCCCCTCCTGTAACGCCATCTGTGCGGCCCCCCTCCCCCAGGGCTGTCACCCCACCTCCCAAGCCTGGACCCACAAGCACATCCTGTGAACCAAAGATGGTCATCAACACCGGCCCCCAGATCCACTCAGAGAAGACACTGTATCTCAAGTCCAGCGACAACCGCCTTCTCATGTCCCTCTTCCTCCTCATCTTCGTCCTCTTCCTCTGCCTCTTTGCTTACAACTGCTATAAGGGCTTCCTGCCCGCACAGTGCTTGAAATTCCGCTCCGCCCTGCTGCTTGGGAAGAAAAAGCCCAAGTCAGAATTTTCTGACCTAGAGCAGAGCGTAAAGGAGACGTTGGTGGAGCCCGGCAGCTTCTCCCAGCAGAATGGGGAGCAGCCAAAGCCAGCCCTGGACACCGGCTATGAGACGGAGCAGGACACCATCACCAGCAAAGTCCCCACGGATAGGGAGGACTCACAGAGAATCGATGAGTTCTCCTCCAGAGACAAGCCGTTTGATGTCAAGTGTGAACTGAAGTTTGCCGACTCAGATGCAGATGGAGACTGAGGCCCCAGCCGCGTGTTCCCACCTGAGTCTCAGTCTGTGCGTGGAGCGTTTTGTGCTTAACCTTTCAGTAGCCAAGTCTCGTCATTGTACAGCGAACCTCAGCCCTTTGTTTTCTCGAGTTGAGCCTGTGACTTGATCCTCTGTCCTTTTAGAAAATGACAAGTATCACATCCCTATCCTGCAGTCCCTGGAGCGCTTTAAGATTCCCTATGGGCAGCGGCACCGATTTACCTGAGCCCTTTGTGTCGTGGGGTGGGGAGATGGTGACCTCCACTGGCTGAGAAGAGTTACCCTTCCACTTCCCCTCCTCGTAGCAGCCACTAAAAGATAATTTAATTCCAGATTGGAAATGATGTTTTAGTTTATCAGATTGGTAACTTACTGCCTGTTGTCCAGATTGGCACGAAGCTTTTCTTCCATTTAATTTTTTTTTTTTTTTTGCTTTGATTGTGTTGTCTTTGGTCATTTTTTTAAATTACTGAAGCAGATGTTTTAATATTTAGAAGAAGATGTGCATTTTCTAGATTTTGTTGTATATTGGGATAAAATATGGCTTATGTTGCTTAAGATTCTCAGGGAGGACTTGTTTTTGCTAAATGCATTCGTTCTGCTTTTAGAAATGTAGACCTAAAACCACCTCTTGAACACACTCACCTTTTGACTTTTTACTTTATTCTTTGAAGGAAGCATCATTTTCAGGCATATTTTCTTTACTTTTTTTCCTTTTTTGACTCTCTTCAAGAGGAGGGCTATCCCACATCCGTGAGGCAGGCCTTCAGAGAGGGAAGGTGGCCCGATGACTCTGGGTGGTGATCAGGCTGGCCCATGAGGAGGAGCGTTTTACAATCCCACAGCCATGGCCGCTGGCTGAACCTCCTGTCCAGATGGACAGATGGAGCCTTCACAAGGACATCGTTGGTGTCTGCCTATCTCCTGTCTCTTCTTGCTTCTATCTCACACCTACTGCCTGCGGGTTTCCCCCTCAGCCTCATGGACCTGGCCACCTGGGAGAGAAGTGGACCGGGGTGGATAGCTGCACACAGGACCACAGTCTCCCAGTGCATGTGGCCGTTCCAGACCCACTTCTGCCACTGTCTCTAAAGATGTGAATGGGTGGTACGATTTTAGCATTCATCTTACACTCCATCTCCCCAGTTTGTAAATACCCTTTAAGAGCAGACTTTTATTCCATGGCAAAGAGCAATAAACTGAGTTTTTGTGTGTCTGTGTGGACAGTCTCATCTTCAGCATGATGTGCTTTGATCATTTTGGTGAGATCATTTGTATTTTCTAAGATTTACTTTGTCTTTATTTTTCTACTTTGAATTGTATACATTTGGAAAGTATCCGAATAAATGAGAAGCCTTATTGTTGCTCTGGGCAGGCCATTCATTACTGAGTTACCTGTGTGGTGGCCCTCGTGGGGTGGTCTGAGGCACTTCCTTTCTTCATCCCTGCCTGTCCATTTCCTGCTGTGTTTCGCCTGCTCTGGCATGGGATGCGTTCCTGACAACTTCTTCCTCAGTTCCCTTTCTTTTCTGTCCTCTCTGTCTCACAGCCTCATCTCCTAAGCCCTTCCCTCCTCCTGGCTCCTCCTCCCTGTCCTGTCTGGGCCCCGGCTCGTCTTCCTCACCCTGGAGTCCCTGGCCGGACTTGGGCTCAGGGCCTGACAGCAGCACACGGGTCACCTTGCTGCCACCCCTCCTGAGTGACCAGGCACAACAGGTGCAGGCGCTGGGGACCTTCCACCTCTTCTGCCAGGCCACAGGTGAGTTGGGGCACGCTCTGAGGCAGATGGGCGCGGGGGGGTGGGGCAGGGAGTGCTCTGCCCCATCCACTTGGTCTCCCCACTTTGCCTACACCACCCACCTTGTTCCTGGCTGTGCCTCTGAGGTCAAGTCAGCTCATACTTTCACAAGATAAACTGTGAACAGACAGCAGGCGTCAACCATAAAGGGTCAGGTGTTTCAGGCTTCCGTAGGCTGTGACCCCAGCCAGTCAGCCTCTGTCACCCCTACTCAGTGTCATTGTAAAAGTAGCATAGACTGTGTAGTGAGCAGGCAGGTACTTACAGAAACCAGCTGTGGGCTAGATTTGGCCCAAAGGCCACTGTGGTATGGAAGGTTGCTTTCCTGTCCCTAACAAATTGGAGGTTGATAGAGTTGGCTTTTTTTTTTTTTTTTTCTTGGTGGTACTGGGGTTTGAACTCAGGGCTTTGTGCTTGCTAGGCAGGTACTCTACCACTTGAGCCATTCTGTCAGCCTGGCATTTGGAAGTTTTTAAAAAGTAACTTCCGAGCTTCCAAAAGGGAAGTTGTATTAATGGTTTGCCTCGTGCTGTTTGAAATGTGGTACTGTTCCTGCAGACACAGGAGGGGCTGGCCCAGTGCTGGAGAATATTCCCGGGGGACAACCACTCTTGAAGGATGGCAGTTTGTCCCAAACCATGCTTTAGTTGTGTACCTGGCTTTGGCAGCACCCAGCAGCCCTGGTTTCTGTGTGCCTGGCAGGCTTAAGCCTCTACACAGAATGGAATAAAATGAACAAGGAAGGAAAGCAAATGCAGTTTGTCTTTTAAGACAAATTTTTAACAAACTGTCAAAACTGCAAAGAGATTTCTGTTAAGGCAGCTGTGGGAGCTGCCAGGTAGCTCTGTCCACTGTGAATGCAACACACCTCCTGGCAGGTAGTGGCCCTGCACAGGCTGTCCTCAGACCGTGGACAGGAGTTGTGACTGAGCACTGTGGAAAAGACAGACTTCTGACTGGCTGGCTCTGTTGGTCCAAACTCTCTTTTTTTGAGATGGAGTCTTGCTGTGTGGTCCAGGTTGGCCTTGAACTCTTAGGCTTAAGCAATCCCCCCACCTCAGCTTCTCAAGTAGCTGGAACTACTGGTGTGTACCTCTGTGCCCAGTGGTCCAGCGCCTTTGCTCAATGCTGTGGACCAAGGCTGCATGTTAATCTTTAGTCAGGTAATTTACCCCAGACAACAGGATGGGAAAGTCCTACCTGTCTCCATGACATCCGAATCTTTGGTGCAAGCAGACACCTTCACAGGCACACTTGGAAGCCTCCTCAGTGGTGGGGAAACACTGTTGGGTCCATATGACATGGCAAAGGTCCCAGGGCCCCTTCACTGGCAGACACAGCAAGAGCCTTCACACTGCCAAACGAGAGCTTGGGAGAGAGTGAAAGCTTGGTGCCTTGGGGCAGTTGGACGGCGCTGTCTGATGCCAGGACTTCATTACAAAGGGGCTTGGAGCAAAATGGTAAAGGAAAGGTTACCTGAAGACATAAGAACTGCCGGAAGCCACTGCCAACGTGGGCAGGTGGAGTGAAGGAAAATGGTGATACTCTTGTCTCTCTTTCTGCACATGTGGGGCTGGGGCCTCCTGATCTGCAGCTGCCTCTGCTGGAGGTGCCACAAGAGCCTGGAGAAATGGTTCCTCTGACTTCCTATCTTTGGCAGTTCTCCCATGGGCCAGAATGCTAGTGGCCAGGGGCCTGGGAGTTGTGGAGAGCATGGTGGGAGCTGAGATGGGAGGGTGTAACCCTTTCCTAGCATTGGGATGGACTAATCAGGTGGGAGACAGGCCTTGAACTCTCCTGTGACCTCATGGCCACTGTTCTACCCATAGATACTTGGTTCCATCTGGGATCTTTTCTGTTCTCTTGTTCTATTGAGGCCACCTGTGAGGGAGGGTGGCTGATTGTGGTCCCCTGTGGGGTGGATCAGACCAGGGCAGACTTTTTTGCAGGCTTTGGCACGTGAGAATCCAGAGGCTGTCCTGTGGGCTTTGCAGTCTCAGAACAGGTTGCATGGTTGGGTCAGTCTGCAGACAGCCCTCCCTGGAGGGGAGGCCCATGTGGCCTTGAACTCCATGAGGCTTCTGGGAGAAATGAGAGCTGTGTTACAGGTTCTGCTTTTGACATTGTACCCTAAGGAAGCAGAAGACAGCTGTGCAGGTGAGGCCTGGGGCCCCAAGACTGCAGTGTGGCTCACTTGGCCTCTGTAGCCTCTCCCTGCTGCCTGTGGTGGGTTTGGAGCCTTGATTTAGGCTTTTTTTCCCCCAAACAGCTGTTTTTGTGGTAATTTTTATAAGTGGTTTGGGGCTGTCTGATTAAAGGCCTATTAGACTAAAGAGAATCTGCAGTTCCTGGGATCCTTCCTGGCACCCTGGCTCTGCTGGTAACCCTCCAAAGAGGGCTGACTGGAGGTCACATGGCCTGGCCTTCCCTTGTCCCACTCATGTCTCCGTGGAGTCAGCCATCCAGAACAGGTGAGGACAAGGCCATCCCTGAGGGGTCAGGGTGGGTCCACCTGGGGGAAATGCCCCGTGGTGTGTGTAGAAGGGGTTCCCTGAGAGATGGTGGAGAGGAGGGCCTGGTGTGGTGAGATGGCTCCCAAGTCAGGATAGACTGGACACGCTTGTGCAGTGCACAGGTAAGATGACCATGGCAGAGAGTCTCATGAAACTCTCCATCTCCCTGCCCCCATCCTCCATGCATGGCAGCTAAAAGGGCAGGGCATGGTTAAGCCTGGCCTTGGTTGTGTCCATCCATTATCTGACCTTGGAGCCTGCACTTGGATCCTTCCCAGCCAGAAGGACAATTTCCCTCCTTTGAGATCCAGTATTCACAGACTTGGTTGCTAGAAGAGCTGATAAATGTCTACGTTGGTGGCTGATCATGTTGCAGACTCTCTCCAGGCTGTGAGCAGCAAGTACCCTGGCCAGTCTCTTCTGAACTGACAGGATTGGATGGCAGGGGTATTTGGAGGCTTGTGACTCAGGCAGACACAAGTGATGTTTCCAATGGGCCCACAGCTGGGAGTTGGGAGAAACTGGGCAGCATGCAGGACATGCTTGGGGCAGCCTCTGCAGCATGGATTTAACTTTGTAGCCACCAGCTGGTGTCCGCTGATGGCACAGTGTAGATATGGTGGTCCTACAGACTGGTTTTAACTCTCACTTTCCCTCTCTCTTTAATCTCCTCTGCATTCAGAAGGAGTTGGATAGTTTAAAAAGAATGAATGGAACGTAAGTACTTTAAAAAACATCTTTCATGTCTAATGTAAGCACGTATTTGACCAATTTATGAATACTTAAAGATGTCCTCATAAAGGTAGGATTTGTGGCGAGAACATTTTGCATTGTTCCTCTTCACCCCCAAGAAAGCTTTTCTTTGAGGGGTTTTGCAGTTGAAGATCCCAACCCATGGGGTTTGGGTGGATTGGCTCCAACTTGAGCAAGCCAGATTCTTGTCCAAGGGCTCAGTCATGAGAACCTTCCAGAGGCTCCACTGTTGGGTAGAGCTGGTGGATGGTGGAGGAGACTGTGCTGCTTTTAGAGCTGACAGTGTTTGATGTTACAGAAAACTCATTACTTGATCATAACACCTCCCAAGAGTTCATTGCTCACAGGAAGATTCTAGCTGGATGCCCATCAGCTGGGGAATGGCTAAATAAAATGTGACATTGTGAAAGACACTCAGCAGTTAAAAGGAAGGAAATTCAGTTGGTCTCCTATCTGCAGGTTCTGAATCCATGGATCATCCAACTGTAGATCAGAAACAGGAAAAAAGAAAGAAAAGTTGCATCTGTATTGCACAGACTCTTTTTCTTATTGTATCTAAATAATACAGTATAACAACTATTTACACAGCACATAACATTGCATTGTGTTCTAAGGAACCCAAAGATGATTTAAGGGCTGGTGCAGTGGCTCAAGCGGCAGAGCTCCTGACAAGCAAGCGTGAGGCCCAAGCCCCAGTACTGCAAAAAAAAAAAAAAAAAGTTCAAAACACTTCTGATTGGGAAAAAACAAATTATGGAGTGGACAAAACAGTTCTGAACCCCAAAATAAGCCCCAAACACAGGCTTGTCCACTAGGCTGGGTCAGATGGACTGCTACACACAGCACTTTTGGAACAACTTTCAGATTTTCCTTCAAAGCTTTATGGTACATTCTACATTTCAAATTAGCATTTTTTTGTATCATAAAAGGAACATTTGTTTGTAATGAATTTTTAAATGCTAGGAAAATATATAAAAAAAATTTAACCCCAGAGGTAGACCCCACCAGCACCATGGCCATTTTCAGGTCCTTTCTCTGTGCATATACCTGAGTGTAACGATACACATATGTATATACATATCTACACATGTGTGTGCTTACATGTTTTTTCATTTCATGTTAGTGGGGCTTTTTCCTCAATATCCTTGTAAGAGATTCCCAGTGAATAACAGCATGGGTGTCCACTTATGTGGACTCCCACCCCCCCAATTTCTCAACTTCTCACCAACAGAAATAGGGTTGCAGGGTCCTTCCATGTGTCCCATTGCCACCTTGGAACTCATTCCTAAGATTTTCCAGTTAAGTGTCTGCTTTTTTTTTTTTTTGTGGTACTGAGATTTGGATTCAGGGCCTACACCTTGAGCCACTAAACCAGCTCTTTTCTGTGATGGGTATTTTTGAGATAGGGTCTCTGGAACTATTTGCCCAGGCTGGTGATCCTCCTGAGTAGCTAGGATTGCAGGCGTGAGCCACTGGCACCCAGCAAGTGTCTGCTCTTGAAAGTTCAGTGACAGTCCTAGATAGTGGGGAATTGTTGATGAAGGGACTGGACAAAGGTGAACAGATGGCAATGTTGGTAAAGTGAGGAGAATCATCACAAAAGTAATTTTAAACTAGAACTCTCCTCAAAAATCCAGCCTATGACACAGAAATCCCAAACTCTCTGGCCAGCACCTTTCTCCCAAAGTGGGAGTGCGAGACCTCCCACCTCTGGATGCCCACACCCGCACCCTGCTATACACTTGAGGACAATGCCAGGCATTCCGCCTGCAGGCATTCTTACAATCTTTTTGCTCTGTCATGATGTTTTACTTATGTCATGGTTTTTTCTATTTAGTGTTTTAAACTCCAGCTGGAGAAAAGGTAGTTCCTTTTCCCTGCTGAATGGCCTCAATGAAACCAGTTTGCCACTTCCAGATGGACTGGCATCTATGAAGAGTCTAAAGACTGAGGTGTTCTGGTCAAGTGTGGGTTACCATTGGGGATCAGCCGTGGGGTTTGTCAGGCCCCCAGGGCCCTGGGTAAGAGACACCCTTGTCCATGCTGTTGGAACGCCTGGCCTGATCCAGGGAGACGTGCCTTCAGGACAGGAGGTGGCAGGGAGCTGGCGGGGCCTAGCCTGAGCAGCACCTGAACCTCTCAGGGTTACAGGGCAGGTCTAGCCTTTCCTATCTGGCCTGGTTCAGCTCAAGACCTCTGCACACACCCGGAGTAGGGCTGGGCCAGCTCAGACCCCCATTGGCATCTTCTTACACCATTCTGAGTAGGAGCTAGTATGTGAACCTGTCAGAGTAGAGCTGCCTCAGTTTGCTTTTCCTCCATGGAGGACAGGGAGCTGGGCCCCAGGATGGAGCCAGACCCACAGTCTAGCCATATGAAGACAGCCCTGATGGGGAAGTAACCTGCTGAGGTCACTGGTGGCCCTAGCACTATGACCTCAATCATGGTTCTCCACACATGGCACTCCCACCCCAACTGCCCCGGAACCAATTCAGGTTGGTTGGGCCTCTATCCTGGACCCTCCTCCAATAAGGGCCACACAGCCTCCTCACCTGTTGGCTGGGGAGGCCCTGAGAAAAGGCCAGTCTCCATAGGTCAGGCAGGGCCAAGACTGCTGTTCCTGTCTCTGCCTGTCACAAACTAAAGGTAGCCCCTCACTCTACCTTGGATGGGTTAGGTTGTCAGAGTGCTTGAAAATAGGCAGCCCTAGCCCTTATGTTTTTGGTAACTAAGCCTGGAGGGAGAACAGGAGTTTGGTGAAGATGTGGTGTGGCTGATGTCTGGCTACATGTCTCCGAACACTGGGCCTGCCTGTACATGAGGTGGAAAGCCCCGGGTGGGTGTGCAGTGCTTAGCTGCCCAGCTTAGTTCCAAGAGGCCCCCACCCAACCAGGGCCTCAGCTCTCCATTTGGCACCATCTGCACCTTCTTGAGACCCCAGTGTCTCCCTTGGGCAGGACAGGCCTTCACAGTCCTGGGTGACCAGCAGCCCATGCTACCTGGAGCCCTCCCCACACAGTGGGCCAAGCTCTGGGCCTCTTGATGCTGCAGGGTGAGCAGATGTGGCAGGGATGACAGTACCTTTGGGGGTTTCTCCATCTTCAGGGCCAGGGCTTGGAACCACTGGCAGGAAGGATTCCCAGCCCCTCAACCCCGTCCAGGCACTCCACTCTCAGGTGGGGGTGGACAATGCAGGGAGAAAACGTTGCGGGGGGTGGGGGGGAGGTGTTCAGTCCATGACTGCCTACTTGTGTCCTGAGAGGGCCAGCCTATGCATTTGAGGTCAAAGAGTAGAAGCCCACGGAGCAGTGAAAGGCCTGAAACCTCTGCAGCCCTCTCCTGCCACTGGTCACTGTGGGCATGCTCTGGGGAGGCCCAAGGGCTGAACTGAAAGCTGTTTCAGATCACTTCTGGTCCAGCTGGTCCTTCTTCCCAGGGGACCCTTCCCCTGCTGGGCAGCTCCTGAAAGCCTGAGTAGGGATTCTGGGTGGAGGTGGAGACTTTGTGTTCCCTCAGGTCCGGCAGACATCCGCTTCACCTGGGAGAAACATGGGCGTGCTCTGGAGATGTGTGTGCCCATGCAGGCCCATGTGTTGCCTGATGGCAGAGTCCACCTGCTCAGCTGGCTGCGGGACACCATTCAGGAAAGCACAGAGTACCGCTGCTCTGCCCTCTCCTCCGCAGGGAACCAGACCTCCAAAGTGCGGGTCACGGTGCTGAGGCATGGTAAGTGATGTCCACGCCCAATGCGGCCCTTTTAGGTGGTGGTAACTCTCCTCGTTCCTCAGGGCACTCATGGCAGCATTTCAGTATGAGGATTAACCTAGTGGCTTTCCATTAAGAAACACAAGCACTTTTCACTCTACTTCCCCAATGCACACATGCATACATGTACACCCATGTGTTGGGACATGACACACACCTGCACATGCCATACCCATGCATGCCTGTATACATACACTACACACATGCCCGTATACCCACACATGTATACCTGTACACACGTCACACGTGCCAGCACCACACCCTGGCATAGCTGTACATGTACCAGACATCTACACATAACCATGTATGTACATACCAGACAACATACCACACATGCTGGCATGAGTGGTCACACGCACCATGTGTACATGTACACACACTTGCTGCCAGTATTCTACTTTCCCATATGGGAACTTGTGTTGTTTCCCACATACTTATTTCTGTTTGCTAGGTTCCCAGTTATCATGTATTCCACATCAGTTGTTGAATTCATAACTAATTGTACAGTCATCCAATCACATGATCTGCAGACATATCAGTGTCCAATCATGAGCCTCCTGAGAACCTGCTGGTCAGCTCCTATCCTGCACCAGGAGCCCAGATGCTGCCCTGGGACTGGCTTTCACCTTGAGATTCTGTTTTGGTGTCCGATCATCTGACTTCCCAGGTGTCCTTTTCATAATATGCTCTGTTTTGTTTGAGGGAGATGTCTTCCAGCACATCTCAGAAAGGACGCATGGCAAGAAATGTTCTGAGAACCTGTGTGTCCTTGAAGGAATAGTTTGGCTGGGTGTGCAAACTGGTCTGGGAGTGACTGTCCTGCAGCATGTGAGGTGCTGCTCCACTCTCTTCTGGTGCCCGGTACTTTGCCTGTGGCCCGTTTTTCTTCTCTGCTTAAAGTTTGTATGACCTCCTGTTTTCTCGAGCACTGTGGTATCTCACGATGGCTTGATCTTTTCATGCCTCGGCTGGGCCCATTAAATATGGAAGTCCTTGCCCTCCAATTCTGGAATATTTGCTTGAATATCTATTCACTATTTTCATTTCCCTTCTGTTCTTTTTCTGGAACTCTTTCTGAGCTGAGACTACTTGGACTGCTCTTAACATTCCACCTTCTCTTTCTTGTAATCTCTTTAAATTTTCCCTCTATTTCTTAGGTTTTCTCAGTTTTGCCTTCTAGACCTTAGTGACTGATTTTATTTCTATCACATATTTCTTAGGGCTTTTGTCATTCTTTTATTGTATGTTTCACAGGCGCAGCAGATTCTTTTCACTGAGAATACCGTTTTTTTTCTCGCACTTTTTCCAAGTTGCTATTTTCTGTTTGCTTTGGCATCCATTAATGCATCCCTCAGGTGTTTCATAATGTTGTCCATTTGTATCAACGAGGAGACACAAAGATCCCCCATGTCTCAGCAATTTCTCACCAAGGTATGGTCTCAGGACTTACAGTACCCGCATTGTGAGGGAACTCACTAGAAATACCAAGGAAGCAGGCCCTGCCCCAGGTCTGCCCAGTCAGACCTCTGGGGTGAGGGGTTCCAGAAATCGCTAGGTGATTTCCATACATACTGGAGAGAACCTGATGAGTCCAGCCCTTTGCCACTTTCGCGTATCACAGTCCTGGGCTCCTGCTAGAATGCAAATTCTGACTTGGCAGGGCTGGGTGGCTGGCAATTTAGCATCTCTGAGAGGCTTTGTGGGGGAGGGTTGTGGAC